TTTGTGTTGGGGGGGGGGGAGGGGGAGGGAGAGCATTTAGTATTTTGAGTTTTCCACGTCATTTTTGGTAGCGAGCGCGCTGTATCATCGCCGCCGTTGGGGCACGGTCCACACTCTCTTGCATTATCCAAGAAAAAAAACAAAAGAAATCGCGCCGCATGTAACCTTCGAGATAGGTGTTACAGCACCAAAACGGAAGGTTTTCTATCTCTGTCTGACTCTCGGTTTCCCCATGCGCCTTCGCTCCTCTGGGCCCATGTCGAAGGTGGAGGAGGTGCTTTTCATGAACAAGCTGACTGTGGAGGACCTCAAGATTACGCTGCAGATGAAGCTCGCTGAGGTGGATCGCCGGATTCAGTCCGGCAGGTGAATAGCTAAAGGAGCGGTTCCTTTGTTCCGTTCTGCTAAATGAGTGTTCATCCTGAATTCTGAATTGTGTAAGCATGGTTCCTTCCGCTTCAAAGGTTCCGAAGATATCTGTCAAAACAGGATTATTTTTCTTGATATTCCACAACAAATCCTTCTCTATCCACACAACCGGGTCTTTGAAAAATTGGTAATGGAGTCATCGCGTTTACAGGGCACTACCTGTGCTTCTACGATTCCCCGAGTAGCATACAGCGCTTTTTTACATTTTTTGAAATCGGTATGTTATGTACCTTAGTTTTTACTTGTTGGTTGGTTTTTGCAAGCGTGGTGAGCATGGAAGATTGGTATTAGGCAAAATAAATGTAATCACAGAGATACTACCCATTCGAGGTATAACCGCTGTCGAACGGGATGTGTTGGAAACTTTGTGAATGGAGGGAAACCGTCTGGGTACCGGGCTGATTGATATTGGTATGTAGCGCTCAAACGTGTTGGCACACGTTCGAGCAGGGCGCGAAGGCAGCAACTGCTGGCGGGCATCTCCGACCGGCAGAGGAAGCGGACCAGGGACAAGGCGGCCCAGATGAGCGAGAGGCGGCTGGAGGCTGAGTCTGTGAGTGCTGCAGTTGTTGCCGTCGTCGTCGCTGTCGTCGTCGCCGTCGTCGTCGTCGTCGTCGTTGTTGTTCTGTTGTTGTTGTTGTTGTTGTTGTTGTTGTTGTTGTTGTTGTTGTTGTTGTTGTTGTTGTTGTTGTTGTTGTTGTTGTTGTTGTTGTTGATATATTGTTATTGTTGTCGTCGTCGTTGTTGTTGTTGTTGTTGATATTTTGTTATTGTTGTCGTTGTTGTCGTGTCGTGTCGTTGTCCTGTGGTGGTAGTTTGGATCGTCGGGTTGTCTACGTTGCTTAATGTATGCTTGACGCAGCAAGACTCGCGAGGGACAGATCGCCCCGGATACACGACAGACGGAGACCTGTGATTTTTTTGTTGGTATCACCTCACTCGACGATTGGCAGCGTTGCCGGTTCTTGTTTACGGTCAACGATGACAGCAAGCGAATGCATACCAAATTAGTAATTCCGGCGTGAAGCCAGCCACACACCCCATGGAATGGTGGAAAGATGAGGAGCGCCAAGTTTTTGTGGCAAGTCTCGGAAGGACAGTGCGTGATCGATGGTCGCATGACTTGCACATAACCAAGCAACAAACGAAAAGATTCCCCCTCCCCTGCCCGCCCCTCGGTGTTTGCCATCGGAATTGGGTTCTCGTCGCTTGGTAACGACGTTGTAAAACAAGCCAATTCACTTCGTGAACTCGGCAACCAGGTTACCGTTTTTTTTTTTCCTCCGTTTTTTTTTTGGCGGTAACCATAATGGTGGTCGAGTAGATCATGTTGTGCGGGGTCGAGAACCCTCACTCCGCGCAAGGGGGATGATCGCACCACGTTGTGTTAAAATGGTCAAGCACCCTCGAGGCAGTTACACAGTGCTTACAACTGTCTCTGGAAGTGAAAGCACCAGAAAGTACATTAAGTCATGCGCAGCTGTCATCCGCACGTAAGGAAGTAAGCACAAGATGCCGAACACCCTTAGCAGGATGCAGCGCACCCTTCATGCGACTCGCCG